AATCCTAACGTAAGACCCCATAGTGAGGAATAGCTATGACTTACATAATCAGCACAACCAATTACTCCACTAGGTAACATTTTTTGTGAACTCCAAGTTCCTCGCAATCAAGAAAACAAACTGTCAGTAGAACTTTTTAGCCCTTTGAAAATTTCTTTACACATTTCTAGTTGAGCAAAACAGGAATTATTCATCAAACTGAGCAGACTGTTTCGTGGAGGGATATTTCTCCTTTGGGATGAGATACACTGTGCTGCCACAACATCTTTTTGAATATTTTTGAGCTTGAAAAACAAAACCGCACGACTTATCCAGCAAACAAATATATGAGCGAAAGCAAGAACATAATAATCATTTTAGGATTCTAGATAGGGTCTGTCCTCACTAACCCGAGCAGGATTTGCGCTTCCAAATTACCAAAGAGTGAAGTTAATCTCCGACAAATCCGCTATTCCAAAAGATATTTGGGGATAACCTCATCGTTCCGTTGGCCTATTTGCATTTGAAAAAGCGAAAATAATCAGCACTAATGAGCGATGAGTGAGATCTACAGTACAAGCGATACAAAAATTATCGAATCATTATTCAACACAAACAGTACATCTCCCCTGCTAGTTTACTTATATGCGACACTTTGAAGAACATGCGATTACCTCTTCCAGCGACGTCTGTTGCAACAAGAATATCCTTGGTTTTTTCTTTGAGTGCTTGTAACGCGTATTCTCTGGTCTCTTGACCTTTACCACCATGAAGAACAACTGGGTTAAAGTTCAGTTTGCTCAGTCCCTTTGCTAATAAATCAGCACCCTAGGAGTAAATTGAAAGTTGAAAATCTTGACATAAATCTTTTTCTGACATCCTAACCTTCTTTTGGTTAACAAAGATGATGATAGGTGGTTCGAAATGTTGCTCCAAAACTTCCACCAACTTCTTTTTCTTCTTATCCTCTGATATCATGTAAACAATCTGCAAATACACACGAGAAATTAAAGAACTATCCAAAAGAGCTAACCAAGATTTTAGCCCTTTCCCCATCGGGATTGCAGAAGTGAACAGTTAATTGGTACCTGTTCTACCCTTTCTGTAGGTCGGCCAGCGGAACCGATGTGGACCACGGCAGGCCGCCGCAGATACGCACGAGCAAGTCTTTCGATAGCTGGCGACATGGTTGCTGTGAACATGACTGTCTGAAAAGCTTTTATGACAA